TGTTTTCTACAAAGTTGCTTGAAATTAGCTCAGCTATAACTTTGCCCAAGAATGTATACCTTAATTTATTCAAACAAATAAGTTAGATTTTTGATTTTAATGATAATAGGAACCACCCTAGAATTCATTGTCATAAAAATGAGGGCATAACTATAAGGAACAACTTTGTAGAAGAGACTTTTAGTCTAAAGTTTCAATTTCAGGCTCAAAACATATCATTCCACGTAAATCTGCATTCTGGACCACTGTGCAATGTTGCCTGCTGAACAGTTGAATGAGAATAATCATAAGACATCATTGACTTTCCAAGTAACATTGAAAGCTTTATCGTGGTTTTAAAGCAAGCTACAAGTGTAAATCATGGTCAATAAACCCTCATAAAACCAAAATTGTTACTTGGGTAGTATCATTAATACTTTTTGTTCCTTACATTTGATTGAAAAGTGGTTTTCAACAAAGCTGTAGCTGAGAAAATTTGCTAAAATCACTGCTATCATTTTTTAAAAGAATACTGATGTGGTGAATTGTCAGATAGATATGAACAAAAACATAAGTGTTCCCATAGTAATTCCCATATAAACTTGAGATGGTTTGTGCCATGTCCGTTTCTTACTAAAGTAGTTCATATTTTGGGAGGCTAAGCAGGACCCAATTTGGAACCGTTTAAGCACTGTGGAGCGAAAATTTCAAATTTTGCATCAGTCTAATGTACATGTTACTGATGTGACCTATACTACTAGTGGGTCTAGGTTCATGTACAGTTCACGTCTTTAACGTGTACTTTTGACACAGGTACCTTTAGTAGCATGGCAGCAGGTTGCTTCCAACACGTTAATGCTAAAATGTCACACTTGCTCTATCTAGAGTACTATAAAACTTTGATTTCAGATCTTTTTCCTAATTATTTGAATTAATCCATTTCCAATAATCTCAATCGCTTAATATTACCACATTATGTTTAATGTAAAGTTACAGAGGAAGTTGATTTGTTATTTTCACAAAGGTTATAAATAAGTACGCAGTCATTCTATCTTAATATTACAACTTCCATTTTCCATACCATGTGGATAACAATATACATCAATAACAAGTCCTTTTGACACATACACAACGAAAATGATATTAGACCAAATACTTGGCCTTTTTAAAGGCTGATTTCATACAAAAATATTCAGCCGAGTTCAAAAGTGTTGAATATTTATCGAATTACTAAAACAATTACCTTCTTGCATGTCATTCAAATAACCAATAGTTCGATACATGCTGTCTATATTATAAACTCTATAACGTCGAAGGTCCGATGTAACCCACGTATGTTCAATTGTAGAGTCACTCCAGAAATACGTTCGAGGGTTCTTCAACCTGTGTCCTTCCTCCTAAACGAGCTCCTAATACAGCTGCCAGTAATTCTGCGAGTGCATAGATATTGGCTGAACTGAGGCCACTTTCGACCTTTTGATAGGGTTTCCTGAAGAACGTCACAGATGTTTAAGACGAAGTTACCTTCCTTCATCTGCCATATTATGCCGAGTATTCGCTCGCCATCACATTATTGGTCCAGGTTAACGTGTCTCACTACAGCAAGAACAGTTGCACCAATTTTCCTGTTGGTACATCTTCTTTGATGGAAATCCAATTCCAACTGTGGAATCTGGATATACCATGAACCTCCATCACTTGTGTGGCTAACTCTACAGCTTCTTACACGACTTTGTCACTATCATTCGTATCACTTTAACCTGGTGGAAGTTATTGAATTGTATAGTAAACATTCATTTGAAACATTGCCGTAGAATGGTTGCCTTCCGAGTCATATTAATTGTGATTCCATAATTTATTTATGATAAACTACCACAAGAGCGAAAAGGAAACGTTTTGTTTTTATTTTTCTGAATTCAATGTTCTTTTGCAGTCTTTAGTAATTACACACTTAGTAAATACTACATACTAAAAATTAAATGGCAAGTTTTCCAAAATGTATATTTTTGTAGAAAACCTTCACAAACTTGGTTCGAAAATTAAGCTAAGATACAAATTATTCAAAATTATTCAAAAAAAAAAAAAAACCTTTCGTCGACCACATTACAGAATCTGTTCATGTCGCGAATTAATTGGAAATTCTGAACACTATTCATGCTAATCTGTAATAGAATCCTTCATTTCCCGGTTGGGTGTTCTTGCCACTCAATGAACGCCTTCAAGCACAGAAAAGTACGCATAATTGCCGATCAAATGCAGGCAACAACAAATCACAGCGATGTCAAATTAGCCAAAGGCCACATTCCGCACCGATTTGTCCAGTTCGCGTAAAGCTCCAAACCTCGGAGATCGCCCACATTCCTTTCAAGGCTGTTCACACGTAACCTGCATTGCCAAATGCGAAGTTCTGGAACCATGCATTTCGCCTTCGATACAGATCTGATCAGCTGAAAGTTGTTTTCCTCGTTTGGTTCAGCTCCAGTTGTTTTGCCACAGCTATACCTACATATCGACAAGTTAAGTTTATGAACGTGTGCCTGTGGGTAGCTTCTACACTTACAACACAACTACCGCACTCAGATGGTTTACCGTTCCAAACAGAGGCGGTTCATTTGCTTTCTGTATATGTGTGTGTGTATAATGCGAAACGAACTTGCAAACTCTACCGCGACCCACGAAGCGCGCGACAAGTTCAACTACAGCAACAGCAGCAGTAGTTTGGAGCAGATGTGCACCTGGCGAAATTATTACCGCGCAAAGGAGCGATGTTCGTGTGTCAGTGTGTGCACATTGGTGCATCCATTTACCGGTGCAGTGGCGGCGAATGCGGTAGAAGTCCTCAAGATGTGATCGATCGTCGCACGTATCTACTAGGCGTCGCGTCGAAGACTTTGCCATCGTCATCATGGCCCTTGTTTATTGCCGGCGGTTTTTGGACTATAAATAGAGGAGTTTACGTCCAAGTGGCGAAACGTGTTTCTATTTATTGACGATGGATTTCGTTTCCCGATCGACCCGATGATGCATTGAAACGGAGTCTGCTAGGTCAGCCAATGCATCCTATTTGCAGTCAAACGTTTTGTCAAGAGCATGGTCGATGTAAGATAGCATACTGACCTGCTATCGGAGTAAGGGCTTCCCCTTAATGTATTTTCTGTGTTTACTGTCACCACTTCCAATTACACGCAGAAAAAAATATTTTAAACGTAATAATATTTGACGTAAATGCAATAAGAATTTCATTTTGTTTTGGCTGCAAAAAGAAATCATTATTGTTTCAACAATCCAGCATTATTGTCCCTTAAAACCTATGGATTGTTAAATCAAAAAGAAAATCTTTTCGAATATACAAGAGCTTTCATGGTTTTGACGTAAGCTGTCAAATTTGGCAGCTGGGTCAACAAGAAAAATATGTTTGTTTTTAAAAGAGATTTCTTGTTGATTCAATCAAATTTATTTTATGAAGGCTGACAATTCACGCAGTAGAAATAACAATATGTTTATTGATTCAAAAATAATGTCGATTTTTTTTTTGTGACAACAAACAGAATTGCAATTGAATTTTTGAGGCATAAAATCACTGATCACGCCTTCCTTCGGAAGGGAAGTAAAGCCGTTGGTCACCGGTTCATGAGTTGATGGGTCGATATGTAGGGTCCAGGTGTGGGAGGTGCATTCCTGGCGTCGGGAGCATTGGTACTCAGTACGGAAAACAAGATCGACGGAAAAAAATCAAGGAAAAAAAAACTTAAAAATTGATTATATTTAACAACTGCAGCTTGAACTGCAGCTTACTTGCTTACCTCAAGTCTTAAGATTTTCGGAAATCTCGTACTTATTTCCCGAAATTCACAATTAAAAGCAATACTTAATCAAATGAGAAAATTTTTGTTATTGTTTACATTTTTGTCCGGGTGAAAACGAGGGAATGGTTGGTAGTTATTTTTGTATTCATGGCCCGGGGAATGGACACAGCAAATAAATGCTAAATTAAAATTAACTATTGTTGGCTTAATAATAGAATATTGTTATTTTTACAATAGTTGCAATTGAAAAGTGGCTTATTAAAACAAAAAGAATCTTATGTTGAGTTTATTTGAATAAGTTTTATAGAAACAATAAAATGCAATATAATTTCAACCGGAATTGTTTGTTTAAATACAACTAAAGTTTTGTTTGGTTCAATGCAAACAATTTTCTGTCGGTGTATGTAGAAAGGATACACCACCGAATGATAATGGAAGGAAAATATGACCATGAACATGTTCGAGAATGCACCGCAAATTGATATATTATTTCATTCATCCACTAATAAACCTTCAAACTCGTTTTCATCGCCGCCAGAATGATGCATGAGACAAATGATGACAGGAAAATGTTCATGTTCCGAAATAAACCACAGCGCGTCATTCCCATCCATGTTGTGAACTCTAACTGAAGGCCGAGATTGATTTCATATTAATGAACAATTTAAAAGCAAAATGAAAGCATTTCTTCTGAATTATTTTTGCCCGAATGAAGAACATTTTCGATTACTACCATAGGTAGATGTGAGCGACACTTCACCTGTTTGCGATACATTTTTAATTATACAAGATATTAATTATGCAAAGTACAGATTGAAAACATGCATCCAGCTGATTGATGTGTTGTGGCCAATCTGTGTAGATCCTGCCGCTTATGGCCTGGTTTGCATATAAATCCAGCCGTGCTCATGAATCCGTGGCAGCGGAGGCAGAGGAGGAGACGTCTGGTGGTTTTTATTTCGACGTCTGTCCGACAGGGAGATGCGGCAGGGGGAGTACATTTCCATGTGTGACTAAGAGCGATGAAATCACACACACACACACATACACTCGCATGCGGGCACCATTTGTGTATCAGAATGGTGAAAAATAATTAATTATGCAAAACTCGATCAATGAGCAGTAATTGCAATTTAAAATCAATGCTTCCAGCCGCAAATTTAACCCACTTTTTAATGTATATTCTTTGGTTGTTCTCTTCTTTTCTCATTTCAGAATCGACACATGGTGTTCGATTCAATAGTGCGTCCATAAATTCCGTCACCATTTCGTCGACAGTGGTGAAACGAAGGCCAGCGCCGCAAATCACGGTAGCGAGCGCCCCACAAGTCCTATCGCCGAAGAGACTGTGCACGACTCCACTGGCCGGTGGAGCAACGATTCCGGCCTTAGGTAGCTGTCTGGTATCTGCACATCCACCGGCTTCGGCTGCCGCCGCCGCAGCCGCTGCAGCCCTGTTGCAACACCACCAAGTCCAGGCGGCCCAGCATCAGTTTCAACAGCAACAACAGCAGCATCAGCAGGCTCGGCTTCAGAGCCAACACCATCAGCTGTTAGAATCGACCGGAGGAAACGTTCCAACCTCGGTGCAGCAACAGCAGCTAGTGTCACTTCCACTAGCAATCTCAACCAACAGTCAGCAACCAATGTTTACATCACCAATCGTTGCACAGTCCAATCCGGCTGTCAGTACACAGTCCATCAACGGTTCACTCAACGTGAACGTGGCCAACAATAACCACAACCTCGGACAAACGCAGAACAGTCTCGGCAACACAACGAAGATGGACAACTCGATGGGACAGATGACACCGATGGCCCCACTGGCACTTTCTCAGAGCATGGATTCAGTCAACACCGCCAGCAATGAAGAAGAGGTGAGTACCAACATACTTTTTGGAGTTTAGGTGCGCTACACAAATTACGTAACACAAAAATCCGGGTTTTCGATCCCTTCCCCTATGCAACGATAAGAAACGCTTGATTAGACTACCCTCCTAAAATAACTTAAGGCCCCTTAATTATTTATTTAATTAAGTAATTACTCCTTAATTAGTCAGCCCTCATTTTTTCCAGTTTGAATAAATAGTTTTGGTGGAACACCCTGTTTATTTAAAACTTTGTGAATATGTACAGGAATTTGAAATGGTAAAATTGTTCAAAATAATAGCAGTTTTTTTTTTAATTTTTATATACAGCAAATATTTTCAATATTTTTAAATATTATGTACATTGGTTAATTGGGTGAGGATTGTAAGAATTTTGAGAAATGTAAAATTTAAAATCTCAAAATTGAGCTGAAATGCAAATTATTAGTACTGCTATTATTTTGAACAATTTTACCTAGTGTCTCACTTTCCGGCAGGTGCTTCCAAAAATTTGGTATTTTGTAATCGTTAAATTGAACAAATTTGTAGTCCTGTGGTGAACATTTCAGCTTAATTGATAATAAGTTAACAAAGTTACAACTTGTCAAAATTAACCATTTTGTATGGAAATCAGCATGCGCTGCTACTATATTGAACACAGGTGTCTGTCATTTTCACACTGCGTCGAAATGTATGCCGTGTTCTTTTCTATGAATAAATCATATGGACATGAAAAATATGTGTTTGGTGAAAAAGTCTAATAATTAAATAAGTTTCTAATAATACTGAAGATTTTTTTTTTTTCAAAATAGGATGTGATTGATTGTAATTAATTTAGCAATGAATGTGCATCATGGTTGGACGTATGTGAATCATGGTTGGAAATAAAAATCCATCATGGTTGGACCTTTTATAGGGGAAACGCACCAGTATTGGCCATGTTCCGATTTTGGCCAATTTTTGACGATATTTCACGTTCGACCACAAAATGCACGAATATTGTAATTTAATCGGTTTTCTGAGCTGTGATCAAAATAGAAGCCTATAGCCAATACTGGTGCACTTCCCCTATAAAGTGCCATGTTTCCGCTTAGGAAGCCCACAGGGTCGAGTTCCATAAACAAATCGATTTAATTTGACGACATCGGAAAATGTCTATGTATCCATATGTATGGTATATGTATGTGTATATGTGTGTGTGTGTGTGTATGTGTGTGTAACAAAATATTTATTAATATATGTTTTTCAGCAACCACTAAACATAATTGGATACAACAACCGCCAAATGAAAGGTATTTTAATTCCATAGAGCACTTTTGACTATTTTGTTGTGGAATCGATCAACCGGTTCTGGAAATGTGGGCTATGAGACTAATTCTGACCTTAAACGAATAAAACTCATCATGTGACACCTCAAATCACATTAGCGTTCTAAAACTAGTTCAATGGTAGTCATTTGGAGGCCCAGGGCTACATTGGCCACACCTGGTCTTGTTTCGATACTCCCAGAAAAAGTGGCCACTTTCTGGCTATGGCAAAAAACTATCATGTGATACCTTAAATCAGATTAAAATTCAACAACCAGTTTAATGGCAGTTATTCTGAATATCCAGGATCACGCAGGCCACATCCAATCATTTTCCGGGAAGCAGGGAGGTAGCCATTTTCAGACTTGGATCAAAAGCCATCATGCGATGCGTCATATCACATGAGAATTCAGCTATTTCTTCTATGCCCTTTGTTTAAGAAAGTTTTGACTAGGAAAGTAAACATAAAATCATGTTTTTTATGTTTGTTGAACTAACGGCTAACGCGACGAGATAACATCGATTCAAATCTGCAGCGCGTGAAGGAAATTGTAAACACGCACCTGGTGGCTAATGCCGGAAACAACTAGGTTCAACCATGATACAGTGTAAGTACCATGACAAAAAAAGAAATAAGGAATTTTGTCAAACTTTTTAGTAAAATTAATGTATTAATAGTATGCTCATATGAAGTTTAAAACTTTTAGCAGTATTATGCTTCACAAAAGTTTTCAATATGTAACAAAACATTTCTCTTTTGGGTGTTCTAAAGTGAGCCATGTTGATGAGAAATGAGTTAAAAGTGGGCTATTTTTAACAGTATAAAACCGACAGTATTTGATTTTTTTTTATAAAACATATGTTAATAATTAAAAAAGCTCTTTTTCTTTATTGCAATGAGCTTTTAGAGGAAGTTTCTTAGAACAGATGGACAAAATAACATTCATTACCCTACTTTAATAAAGGCAACCAAACCTAAACAATTTGTGATAAGTGGTTTCAATATCTGAATCATGTTTTGCACAAAATATCAAATTTTAGAAGAATCAGTGATTGCAATGCATGATTTCTTGTCCAGGAAATAAGTGTGAAAATAAACACATTGACAAAAATGTTGATGGTGTAAAGTGAACCCCACACCTATCAATATATTGCTGCGAAGGGGAATTATTGACAACAATGTTGGGCACTTAAGGAAGTATTGACAATACGATTATTGTCAATAATATGTTTACATAAATTACACAAGTAACTGTCAGTCTGGGCGTGAAGAAACGGTGCCGTAAATGCAAATAAGTACATACAACATATAGCTTCCGAAGTAAAATAGAGACTTCTCTCGGTGTATTTGTTAGAATAACTATAATACAAACAAATGGGCATTTCTCGAAAACTTCACCTTTCAAAATAGGGAACTTTTCCCGTCATTTTGAGATTGTTACTTAAATTTTTCATTGGAAGGTCTGGATCACTTTTTTTCTTCTCGATGGTTTTCTTAAAAAAGTCAGAGAAATAATTGAAATTTATTTATTTATGTTTGTATAATTATTTTGGGTATGCCAATTTTTCGTTTTAATGTTATTCTAACAAAGACACCATGCTTCTGCATCTTTTGTTTTATGATGACGGTTAAGATGGCTGCTGTAAATAGTCATATGGAATTTACTGGTGATCATTTAGTGATATATTTTGCTCCATTAACTTACCATTGAAATCACTTTTTTGTAAATCATCATATAATTACTATTAATTTGAATCAATTGATGCCCTGTTATCGGCAATTCAACTTGAACATGGTTTAGTGATACGATTTTTAAAAAAATACTTTATCAAAATTGACACAATTTAAATTTCATGTGATCTGGACGACCAATACAATATTCTTTGAACATTAATTGGTTGCACAGTGCATACACTAATTACAAAAGCCTAATTCTGTATGGTGCAGTGTAAACAAGTTAAGTCCCACTTTTCTTAACCGATCCAACTCTGCCGATATGGGCTGGTATCAATTAATAAAATTAATCTTCCAATTTCAATCATGTCCGTAATCTAGTTTGAACGAACTCCGATGCATTTACGATCATGAGCAAGTAATGGCACCTTTTGAAAAACCAAACATTCATAATCTTCAATTTTCACCCTTCTCAATCTGTCAAGCAAATTGGTTCTTCCTTCCCAAACCCAAAGGATTATCTCACATTCGATCTAAATTAATTTCCGTCATCAATATGCAGATCCCACATGTGCTCTGACAGAGTGTGACAGTAACGCAAAAAGCCTACTGCTGATACTGCTATACTAGTGCACTGTGCACATGCAAGGCACCTACTGTCTGTGTATCGCCATATCGATATTAATTACGGACACTAAGTAAAGTATTCAATATCTTGTCCGGCAGGGATTAGTGGCGTTCGATATTCCCACCACTCACAGCCAAGCAGACGACATTGAACGATGTTTGCAAACTAGAGTGTCTCCTTTTCGAATGCCACTCAGCGTCACTAAACAGGCGCATGTACCAATAATAATCATTGCTCTGAAATAAATATTTCACTTTCAATTCGCAAATATTATTAAATCTAGTGGAAAATAAATTTACCTCCAAGGGACCGATTCCGAGTCGGCTGCAGTTGTAAAAATGCTTTCACCACTTAGTACTACCACTTTGCCTCGTTTCTCCCTTCAGACAAAACCATTGCTTAGAACCTACGCCACATTAGTGATTTATTTTTCACAATCAGCTATAAAATTGAAAAATCTTTTCATTTTTCGTATATTTAGAAAATGAGCCAAGCGATTTCAGGTCGAATAATATTGGTGTCTATATTTGCCTTTTCGGCTGCGAAAATTAATTGAATATAACAGACAGTTCGCGGTTGGTTCCCTTGATCCGCCCTTCCTCCCTTCTCCACCCTCAATTATGATTAGTTGACCACCAAATCACCATAGTATTCCCGCCACTACACAACACGTTCATGCTGATGATCCGTGCCACAAGCTTAAGGTTTCATACGAAGACGTGCAATTTGAGACGACATACACTGTTAAAAGAAGCCATGGGATAACATTGACATAATGGGTTGTGATCACAGTTATCGGTTGGACATCTATTTAAAAACATTGAAAATTAGGACTGGCAAACATTTAAGAAATTTTTTTAGTGTGTCCTACCAGAATCTGCTAGCCGTGTATTCGATATTTTACGACTCATCCAGCAGACGCTTCGCAGGTCCACTGGTTCAAACCCAATATTCGCCACTAGGCAGAAAAGTGCACTCTAATTATACGGTCGTACACAGTCGTTGGCAACGTATGATGTTTCCCCAGAATCTGTCACTGACAATAACACCCATATAGATGCATGCATCTCGATGATGGGTGATATTTGATCTTGCACTTTCATTCCGCCCCACCAACCGACGCACCTCTTTTTGGCGAAATGTTCGCTACTGCAGGACTAGAATATGATTTATACCGCGCATCGCATACACCGTGCTATGGTTTTATTTAGGGCATGTATCCAAGATAGAGAGAGATAGAGAGTGAGAAAAACATATCAACTACCGAATACACGGCATGGAACCCAGTATCGAACTGGGTCTGAGCAGTAGGAGGAATGGACTCATGGTTGGTAATTGATATGAACTCAGAGGGCACTGGTAATTCAATCAAATTGGTTCCCAGTACTGCAGAGAGCAC